ATATCTTTGTTAGAGATGTCCCACGTGGCCCCCGTTTAGCTCTTTTTAGAACACTGTTAAATATCTGTTTGTCCAAATACAGGAAAATGTTGAAGATGGCACCAATGTCACTGTTAAGACTGAAAATTTAGACGGGGATGAGGCCAATGGGAAACAAGAAATGTGTGTAGAAGCCTCTAATTTAAGCACAGATGCTGCTAGTGTAAGCAGCAAAGACAAGAATACAATTAAGCCTGAGACAGAGGCAAAGGGCTCTCATGCTGAGATTGACAAGGATCTATTGCAGGTTCAATTTTATTTAACAATTATTGTTGTGCTTTTTTGTCACTTTGTTGCTAGAGTTAATACTCTACCTTTAACTTTGACATACACTTTCTTTTGGAATAGATATTGATCAAATTTTGGATGCGGTTGGGATTACTAGACTGAATGATTAAGATTGAATCCAATAATTACTTAGTTCAACTCAAATGCTTAAATATTCATTGTTCTCTTCAACTTCTGAAGTTGGATACTTAAACAAATATGGTTCTTGATTTTAGCCTCAATGTAGTATCCCATGCTTTCTTCACGCTTATTGAGAAGTGTTGGAGTACCAAAATATGATCAAATTGAATGGTATTGGGTCAAATTATAGTGAACAGACAAATATCCTAACTAGAACCATATATGTGCAAGGATTGAATTATGTTCAATATTATACTCCCGGCGTCCCATGATTTTGGGACAAGGGAGTGGTACGGAAACTAATAAAAGTAAAGATGAAGTAAGAATGATCAATGATTGTGAAGCACAAATATGACCAAATATGGTTTGGGATAAAAATAGTGGGAACGATGGAGTAGTCCATAATCTTATTGAGTCTCTGAAACTAAATCACAAAATTGAGATATGTGTATGGATGATGGACAAGTTTGATACTGAAACTAATGTTGTTATTATGATGTTTTTTTTGTTGGAACAGGCTTTCAGGTTTTTTGATCGAAACCGTGTGGGGTACATAAGGGTAAGTGAGAAAGTCTATCATTGCTTTCTCTTTTACCCTATGTTTGGTTCATGGAAATTTGAAAGGGAAGGAAAAGAAAATGCTCTCTCTCCTTTTCCAGTTTTCCTTGTCCTATTTTGTTTTCTCACTTTTCTTTTTCCTCTCTAACCAAAAATGAAAAATTGTTTTCCATCTTTTTCATTCTTTTTTTCCTTATATCTTGACCAGGTAGCAGATCTGAGGCTAATTATCCACAATCTTGGCAAGTCGCTATCAAACCGGGATGTTAAGGTATATGTGTTTCTTTTGCATTTTCACGATTTAAGACGGCAACAATCTGCCATCAAGAATGTTTGTTTGTTTATTTTACCATTGTGAACCCGATTCACGTGCAGGATCTGGTCATGAACGCGCTCGTGGAGAGCAACACGTCAAGGGATGACCGTGTTATATACCACAAGCTAGTCAAGAGGTCTGTCTGAGAAGTTCATCAATCACCACATTAGAATTTTCTATGGTTCTCTTGTTATGAACTGTGTACTGCTTTATCTTTGTTTCTTCTCTGATTTTGAGTTCTCATGTACCCTGCAACTCTTTTCTTTTCTTTTTTTTTAGATAAATTGAAGTTGCCAATTCAATAATAACATCTGTGTTCGATTTTGTCTTTATGGATATGGCCTTAGAGAAACATTTGAGATATTGGATTAGATTAGCTGGATAGGCCTTTCAACTCTGTTTTACTCTAGTCTGTACTTCGTATAAACTAGTATGCCTTTCAGTATACACTAATTTGTCTCAAGTAAATTGTTTACTAGTTCTTCCGCTAGTTCAATTTAGTCTGTTTTGGTTCAGTTGATGTTTGACTGTAGTTATTTTTAATCTGATTTGTTTCAAATTTTGGGTGAAATTAAAAAAGATAAAAACCACTCCTTTCGTTTTGAAATCATCTTCGGTGGGTATTTGCACGGTCAAATTGTCATAATAATGTCATATCACCTCTTATGTACTCGCTCTATCCCAATTTATAGTGTTTGTTTTGGTTTATGATGTTTGATTGAAATTATTTTTAAATTATTTTATATGACAAATAGTATATATAGTTAAAAAATAAGAATTACATATTAAAATAATACTTCCTTCGTCCCGTTTTAAATCGCCTGTTTTGACTTTTGAACATATTTAAGGAAAAGAAAAAATAGAGTTACTTTTCTGAAATTGTCATTACTTTTAAAGAGGGGTGACGATGAATGAGAAAATAATGTGGAGAAGAGTGACTAATTTTAGGGGTAGTTTAGGTATTTTACTCTTAAAAATTTACGAAAATAAGCAACAGACAAATTATTTTGGGACGGAAAAAAAGGCAAACGGGCAATTTAAAATGGGACAGAGGGAGTACATCAAAAAATTTACAAAACTAGTAATGACAATAGTACTTTATTTTATTAAATTGCTAATAAAAATAGAGAAAGAAAGTGAATAAAGTTTGATCCCGTGAATCGTAAATAGGCACTGTAAATTGGGACGGAGGAAGTAGAATTGTACACCTATAGTATGATAAATTGAATTACAAGTAAATTCAATAAAATCTCGTAAATAGAATTGGGATGAGATTTTTGGGACGAAAGAAGTATATATACATTTAAAAACTACTGGTACATTAAAAACTCTTTGAAACAAGAGGTGGCATAAATATGCTATTGTTTTATCCAATAAGTATTGAAAAATAAACTAAGAAAACAAATAAAATTTGACTCTTTGAGTATTAAACATGTGCTATAATATAGGATAGAGGGAGTATTATGTATAATTTGTCATCCGTATTAAAGAGGATGAAAACAAACCATACCACTTTATGGTATGGAAAGCCTTACTAGTATTAGAGTCTTCTTCTCAATTTATTCTTATCAAAATTAGATATGGAATATTTTAAAATATAGTATGTTGTACAAAGTACTAGAATTAAATTAGATTAGATCTTAATAGAATCATATTTGATTCAATTAGAATCTCAGAGTAAAGCTCATTAGATGCTTGAGAGCACTGGAAATACGTTTGAAGCCCTGGGGCTTCAAACTTTCTCTCTCTGCCATGTTAGCTTTAACTTAGAGCAAAAATTCACTGGAAATGGGTTTGAAGCCCCAGGGCTTCAAACTGGGGCTTCAAACCTTCATTTTTTACATTTTTAAATATACATCTTCTAAAATTAAATTAATAAAATGTAATTAATTTATTATTTAAATTGTCGGGAACGAAGCCCAACTCTTGGTAATACCACATCGCGGCGTCGCTTGGCGCGAGATTGTCGGGAAAGAAGCCGGAACCGGAAGGATTCATGTCGAAAAGAGAGGGGGAAAGTTTGAAATTGAAGAAGATTGAAGAAGAGTGAAGGTGTGAGAGATTGGGAGGTGGGGCGGGTTTGAATTTATAACAAATTTTTTTGCATTCAACGGCTATTAGAGCCGTTAAGGGGGGATGGGATTGCGTCAAATGAGTGACGCCGAGCACATCACGCCCGAATCACGCCGATGGGGGTGGTATTTAACGCCCCCCGGCGTTAAAACACCTCATCACGTCGTGGGGCGTGAGAGGTATGCCCAGTGTCTTGACACCGATTAATTATTTTGGATAGGGTATTCAAAAACATTTATAAATGCCAATCGCATTATATTTTTATTCTATATGGAACTTGATAATCAAAACTATGACCCTGACAAATATTTTCAAACTCGCAATTGAAGATTTATGACATGTTTCACATACTCTAACACAATGGTCTACAGAGAATTTATCCTTTAATTTAGTCACGCGCACATTTTTTTTTAAATTTTAACTCTGAAATTTGAATTCACAACTTATATGTCCAGAAGTCTTTAATGGAATGTAAAACAAGCAAATAAAACTTTTTTTGAAGCACAAAGATATGTCACGTTTATACACTAGTATTCAATAAAACCAAAATGAATATCTCTCATATTAGAATAAACATTTGTTTTTTGAAAAAAAAAAGAACGTAATTAAAGAGTACAAGTATATGCATACGAGTTAAAAATATCTATTAACTGAGTTGTGGCTATCGAAAATTAGATTCATTAAAAATAGTGATTTAAAATCAAACAAATAGCTAATTAATCCGTTTTGGGGTTGATCAATTTTTTCCTTGGTATTGTAGTGTCCACTCAAACAGCTAGTCCTTGCTAGACAATATCTTTTCACTCTCACGTAAGAAATAGAGTAAATTTTTACACTAGTCCTCAATAAATAATAATTACCAACATAATCTTTTGTAATTGAGATGTATTCCCTAAATAGTCCTCTGTAAAAAAAATGTCTATTAAATAATAGTTAGATGAAAGATATTTTTTGTATTTTCCATTATCTAAAATATGAATAAATACTTAAAATGATCTTTTCAAATTAAGTGAATGGCTGCTAGAGAAACAAAACCATCCTAAGTAGGCTCATTAGCTCAACTTTGGAAAAACATTTACTTATGAATTATCAGTTTGAAAAAAATACTTAATTACTAGCATTTCGACTGACATTTAACAGACATTTTTAGTAGATGACTATTTAGGGAACACATTTCTATTACAAAGGACCACGCTGGTAATTATCGTTAACAGATGACTAATTTGAAAAAACACCTGGTTAGAATAGACTATTTCAGAAATTCAATTAAGTGAGAAGAATATGACTACTAGAATATTTTCTTATTTCTCTCTCAATAAGATGGATTAGACTCGTAGAATGGATTGGACTCTACCTTTCTTTTTGGGCCAAATTTTCTTGGACCAGTTTGGACGTATTACTTATTGGGCCTCTTTTGCCGTCGATCATCGATAGATCTCGCCTTCTCCGTTTTTCAAATTGGTTCATTTTGCTTTTGCTTTGCTCAGTTGCTCTCCACACATTCCGTTTGACGTTTGAACAAAGGAAAAAGCTATAATTCCCGCCATTTCCCAAACGCGATCCTCTCCTTTCGTCATCATCGTTATCGCCTTCGTTTCATCGCGCAGCGACGGTCGGAGATGATGTGATCCTCGGCCGCTGGTTTCCCTCACTCTCACACGCGCACATCGCAGAGATTCAGACGGCGGCGGCGGCTGCTGAGATGACGACGGCGGAGAAGCTGTTGGTGCAGCTCTTCGAGAGGAGGGATTGGATAATTGACCAAGCGAGGCAGCAGGCTGAGTTGTACGATCACCACATAGCCTCGAAGCTCCTCGTCCATGGCATAACTCCTCCTTGTTGGCTCGGGAACCCTAATCCTTCTTCTCACTCCACTCGTACTTTCACTTTCCTCAACTCATTCCCCCCCCTATTTTTTGGTATAAAATTATGAATTATATTTGATTTTGCTCAGAGATGATTAATTGCAATTGGCATTGTGGTTTGACATAACATTTTTGTGATATTTTGTGACAATACGCAGTGTCGCCTCATAATTAAGGACTAAAAGAGTTAATTATATAGAATTTGTGTGTAATTGCCTCGGTTTTTATTGAACATCAAGGATTATAAAAGAAGTTTGATAGACTTCATGCTACAAAGGATTGCCTTCTTTGCCTTTCTTGATAGGTCTGAAGATTATATTTCTTTTATATCTTTTTCAGATTTAGGAAACTAGATCAGCATCAAACAAACACTGGATTAGAATGTTTTTTGCTTATTAAACAGTAAAGGTAGTTTTTGTTAGTGGTTCATTTTTGTTATTTAGGCATTAGAAATGTTAAGTTTCTGCTAATTTTTGAAATCTTCTGTTACAATTTAAATTAAATTCAGGTCTAAACCTTCGGTCATCAGATTAGAATGTTTTGAATTGATTTTTTAGTCTTTAAACATATATGGATTCAGTTCCACTTTAGACTAATTTACTCTGATCATAACTCCCTGGTGCAGAGTGGAACAAAGAAGAATTGATTTCTGAACTTCTGATTCCTCATACACAGCGTCGAGTGCATTACCAAACTGCTCATTATTCTCACAACACTAAGCCGGTTGTCAGAGACTACCCAGAGGTTTGGAATGGATTCTGCGCAGAAACTCATGCTTCAAACATCGATGTTGATGTGGGAGAGGGGCCAAGTATGGTGGATGGTTGCCTTGAGATTGATGTTGAAAATAATCTAGATGTTGTTTCTGAGCTGGATTGTAGTGTTAGCTCACCAGTTGACCATGGAAATGCTAGAATCTCAAATGTATACAGTGTTCCTGATCAGTCGTTAGCAAGGATTCAGAGGTCCAAATCAAGGCAAAAAGCTCTTGAGCTCCGGAATAGTGCAAAGTCAGTGGCTAAGAATCATCCAAGAAATGAAGAGAGGAACGACGGATCTACAGGCGGTATTAGAATGCCTAGTTTAGAGTCTGAGTGCGTTGATCATTTCAATGTGGCACCGAAGTCACCTGAGCCTTCTGCTGTGAGCTGCCATATTTATGAAAATGGAGAAATGAACACAGAATATAGTCAAGGTTTGGGAGATGGTAGCGACCTCCATGCTGTTCAAAATACTAGGTTTGACAATTCTGCCAATCGGCACATCCATAAGGAATCACCCACAAAGGAACTTAAAGCTTCTGAAAGGGAAATCAATTCACACTTGGGAAGCAACATAAACTCCAGAAGCTTCAAAATTTTTGGGGATATTAAATCTAAAGGCGGAGATAGCCAAAGCGTGGAAACAGGTAAAGATATTGATGTTGGTAGAACTACAAAGTCTTGGACTTCTAGCATAAGTTGCAGGTTTAGGGAAACATGTGATGATAACAGCCAAGTAGAAAAGTTAGTAATGGATAAACAGCACGACAAGAGTATAACGCCTAAAGGTTCTGCAAAGCAAGCAAGTTGTGCATGTGATCCGGTGACACTTTATCCTTTTGCTGATGTCATTGCTCAGGAGAATGATGCTGCTGAAATAGGGTCCTTGGATGATTTGTCTCAACAGCCTTGCTGTGCAAGGAAGCCACTGAAATTGGTTGACCCTTCTAATCTAAGTAAAGAATTTTTTGCTGACAAAGAAGAAACTTTGGAAGATGGCTTGCCTCAGAATGATGAGGCTTCCAAGTTCTCCCGCGGGTTATTTGGAAGATCTAACTGCTCTAGCAAGCAAAATGAATGTGTTAATCGGGCTTCAAACCCAAATATAGATTCTTCATTTTCGGGGATGGATAGGGGCATTCTCTCAGTACCCTCAGACATTGTGCAAGAAAATGATAATTGCAACAAATTCTCAGCAGGGGCCTATATTTCAGATGGGCCACTTCATAAAAGAAGGTCAGAAGATAGTTGTTACAATAAACTAGAATCAGATCCTGCCAATAATTCAAGTGCTTCTGGTCTTAAAAATACTCAATTCATATTGTTTGCCGCAGAAAAGTTTGTATCTGCTGGCAATGAACTTGAAAATTCTTTAGGTTGTCAAGTAATTCATAACATCCATTGTAAGACTAGCCAGAAGGAAATTGGAGATACTATTGTAGAAAATAAACTGGAAACTGATAAGGTTGTAGAAGATCATTCTTCCAGTTACAAACTGGACAACCTTGATAGTGACATCAGAAAAGACTTGGAGTGTTTGGCAGAAAAGCCTCCCTCTGATTGTTTCATGCTAGTGAAGCCAAAGCAGCTTGACTTTGATCACACTGAAGGCTCGAATGTTACTCTTCTAACAGTGAAAAGGAAAAGGACAGAGAAATCAGCAGAAGTGTTCAACACTTCGCAATCTTTGTCAGATAAGGACAGTACTGATAATAAAATAGAACCTACTGAGAAAGTGTCACTGGTAGAGCCTAAGGTCCACAGTGAACTAAGAGAAGACTGGAGGAAGTCTGTTGAATTTAATGTTTCAGGAGACTTTCAATTTGAGGTGGCCAGAGATGAGTCTACTACAGAAAAGCATTTGGACTTGAAGAACATGAAAAATGACTCAAAACCTGCGTACACTGAAAATTCACCTTGCACGAACAAGGAAGATGTTATGCTGCCAAAGGCTGGTGACACTCCTGACTTAGATTTAAGTAACTTGAATGCTTCCTGCGAACAAGGTCACGGGTCATCACCACATCAGCAAGCTGAAGGGGTATGATAATTTCTGCTGTTTTCATGTATCCTATATTTACAAAGAGAATTCCAGTTTGCCCATGTATGTTAGGTACTCCAGACCACCCCACTTTAACATGCCTAGTAATTGTAAATTGTTTTTTTTGCAGAGTAATTTTCTTGAATAAGTTTCTAGTTTTGTTTACCTCTTTGTACCTCTCTAGTCTAGTAGTCTCTTAAAAAATCTTCTCATATTTTTTCTTAAATGATTAATATCTGCTGTTTGCAATTTTTAATCAAGATTTATTTGACCTTTTCATAGATTTAGTCTTGACTCCCCCCCCTCCTTTACAGTGTGCATATGTAAACATAATTTTTCCCATTCTTTTTTTAGGTGGAATGGTGGATGGATAGTGTAAGGAGTGTATGCCATTATTTTATATTCAAAGAGCTCCCTTGCACGAAGCACCTCTTCAGTTGTCTA